AGCTGGGATAGAGGTGTGGTTTAAGTGTACAACTCTAGCCCAGCAAGTGTGAGGCTACTCCTGGGTCCAATCCCAATACTACTGGGGAAAAAAAATGTATTCTGCATGTGAAGCTCACTAGTTCGTGAGGTTGCGGTAGATATACTCTATAGCTGGTGAGCTTGGGAAATGAACTTTAAATTCAAGTTAATTAATTAACTTTACGCTAAACAGACACATGTGACTGTGGGATGCCAGATTGGACCAGGCAAGAGTGCCAAACACATATTTAAATAAAATGTGGAATACCACATACTATCTGCATAAACTTATTTTATTCTTAACTGGTCTTAGCATCTCAGCTATTGCTAAGTAGTAAATTCTCAAATATAAATGTACTTATTAAACAGTCTATTTTCCAGTATAAACATTGTATCTCATTTCCAGATAAAAAATAATTTGCAATTTTTATTTTGTGGTAGGACACATCCATTTTAATGACTTAGTAAGTATAATTTTTTTAAAGTGATGTGAAAACTGTGGAAAATGTAGAAATGTAGATAGCTGCTGTTAATTTGAAGATCTCCTTTCTTTTGTCATACTTTATGAAAACCTATTTTGAGTCTTTTCAGAAGAATGCAGCCTCACCTGTTATTTTCAGTGTTAATGATCATTTCCATTCATTTATGGCCTGATCAACCTATAAATCTCCATTAAATTGCATTGCTTAGCTCTCCTCGTAATGGAAAGCCCTTCAAAATGATTCATTCTGCAGAAAGTAAAATAGCTTTCCTTAACACCACAATTTCATTCATTGTTTGAGTTCTTAGTTCTTTATTAGCTCACAAGATGCAACAAAAGAAGAACTAGATGTCATGACTTCTTTTGTCAAAAAAACAAAAAATGCCCTTGGATGAAATACTTTGTAAGACCAGGTGCCAGTGGCTCGTGCCTGTAATTCTAGCTATTCAGGAGGCTGAGATCTGAGGATCATGGATTATGGTTCAAAGCCAGTCCAGGCAGGAATGTCCCAGAGACTCTTCTCTCCAATTAACCACCAGAAAACCAGAAGTGGCACTGTGGCTCAAGTGGTAGAGCACTCGCGTTGAGCTGAAGAGCTCAGGGACAGCACCTAAGTCCAGGGACAGCACCTAATCCCCACAACTGAAAAAACAAACAAACAAAAAACCTTCTTTGTACAAAATGATGCTTAATTCTTAAATTTACACATTTCTAACATCTTGTATTTGCTTGACTGTGACTTGAACATTTTCTTCTTGAAAGTGCTGAAGTTTGAACTTAGGGCTTCATGTTTGCTAGGCAGGCAGCCACTCTACTACTTAAGTTATACTATGCTAAGACTATTTTCTGTTTGATAGATAGGACCTCATGTTTTTGCCAGAACTGGCCTCAGACTGCTATCCTATTTCTGCCTCCCAAATAGCTTTGCATGTATATACCAAACACCTGGCCTGTTCCTTGAAAATGAGGTCTAACTTCTTGCCTTGATTGATCTTTATCCTCTACATCTCAGACTGCTAAGTAGCCAGGACTACAGGCCTGAGCCACTAGTGCTCAGCGTAGTGAACATTTATTTGACAACAAACAATAAATGAAAAGCTTATCTGTGCAAAACTCAGCTCTCTGATCACTCTACTGTAAAAAGCATTGGGATCTTCCTACCCAGATTTATTTGCTTTGTCATTTCAAATGGTGAATTCAAATATTCAGTTTTTACCTTCTTTTCCACGTTTTCCTTCAAACTTAGACGGCCTCACACTTTAATTCCTGCTTATTTCCCCCTATTATGTAATGAACATTTCTGTTGTGACTCACACTTTTTTACTTCACAGAATGTTTCTGTTTTTCACCAGTACTGCCTGTCTACATTTATAAGAATTTAGTTTTTTCTCATTGAATTTTACTACAATAAGTTTATTCTTTTTAAGTAATACAAGGATTCGCTCCAGCTGAGGACTAAACATCTGACTGATGTATCTCTACATATCTAATATTTTCTTTCTTGTTGGTTGTATTTTTGTTGTGATTTATAATTGATAAAACACTCTGATTTTAAAATGTTGAACTCTTACCTGATTTCACTAGATTTTATTTAATGAAGTCACAACTTCCTTCTTTCAGAAAAAAATAATTAAGGACATTAAATATAATGAACTGACATGAGATTTGTTGATGTTGCAAATGTGTACTAAAACCTTTTCTCATGTTTTGGGAGCAGGGTGTTATATTTTCTGGGCAGAAGGAGCCATGATGTTGGTCACAGGTCTACAGTCAAGTGACAGGAGGCCACTGGGCCACCATGTTGACTTGCTATACCAACACTGGGGCTGCTTCTCTTCTTGGGCAAAGTGATGACAAAACAAAGCCAGGAGATGTAGCTTTTGCGATCCATTAGTTAATCTACATACACACAAGGAGAAGGATGGCAGGGTGCCAATTGTTCTGCTGGTAAGGTGCGAATATTGTTCTGGGCCACATGTCCAACTCCCTTCAAATACTGAGCCCGAGTAAATTTGACCATTTAGATTTTAGCCGCAACTTCAAATTTTGCAAGCAGTCAGAGAATGATGAGATAAGCAGTCAGAGAGATTTGGATTTACTTTTCATGATCACCCATGGTTTTTGGTGCATTATCTAAGGTATAATTATATTACCAGTTAATAGGCATAGAATGACAAGTGGCGTTAGAAATAAAGTTTGGAGCACATGCATTTTTTATTTCTAGATGTTTTCCTTAATAACCTCAATGAGCTAATTCTGTTGCTGCCCAGCTTCTTTGTGTGGAAGTTTGTAACTGCTATGATAGTGTCTTTTTTTTTAATCTGAAGCCTCTTATTATTCCTGAGTCTTCATGCTGGGAATAAACCTTGTTTATTGTAGTTATGCAACCTGTGCTATTTACATTAAAGGGATTCAATAAATAGTGCTGTGAGCTGTGCTCTATTTGAACTAGAAAATAAAGCTGAACCATTTGGGGTCAGTCATTAGGTACTGACAACATAAATAGGGAAATATTAGTGAACCTTTTATTTGCTATGCTAATAAACTATTAAGAGATTTAAAAATATGAGAATAGAAAAATAGATCCTTAAGGTACGTTTCCTCTATGTATTACTTTGTTCATTATTTTTGTTAGTGTCTAAAAGCTCATCACAGATAAGTTTTGTAGTTAATGTGGCTTTGCTAAAATTGTAAGATTCTATTTAACATCTCAGCAAGATTCTATTTAATATCATTTTGCCTTAATGTTTTTTGAAGCAGATTCATGAATTAAATAATTTCTGGAGTCAAATGAAGGTTTCTACCATTTGACGATGCCAACCAGTGAATAAATTCCTAATGACTTGTTTTTGACAGAGGTGTCTCTGACATAATACAGAAAGGACCATTTGGAAGCTGTCATTGATTGGCAAGGCACCAAACAAAAAACATTCTCATTAGCTTTGGTCTTGTTATGTTCCTCCCAGTATTTGGAGGTGCCTGAGCAGGCGATAGAGCCGGCCTGGAGAAAAAGGTCCCCTTTCTCTTTGCTCCATACCTATGGACAGTATTTAACTATCAGAGGCTTCCCAGTCAGTATCAGTAGTTGAATTTGCAAAAGATAACATGAAATGATGAAGATGATGGGTGGTCTTTATGATCCAGTGGTCTTTATGGCCAGGCCATATTATCTCTTTACTTCTGAAAATTAAATTGCTCAACATAAGGCATGGAAAAACTCCATATTAGAAACTTGCCTTATTCAGACAAATCATCTTGTTTGCCTTAAGAGTTTGTAAAAGGTGGTACATTTTTTTATCAAAATTTAGATGACTGCAGCTTTTATTTGATTTCTGGGTCTTCCATCGGTGTTCAAGTCATGTTCGTACAAGTTCCATGTTGTCTCTAGGACTGTGGCTCCAACTTGAAGTCCAGTGCTGTGAAACCTTCAGCATTTCTCTTTGTGCTCAAGATTTCTTTTACTATTTGGAGTCATTGAAACTTCCACGTGAATTTTTGGGTTGATATTTGTATTTTTGCCAAGAGTGGCATTGGGATTTTGAAGGGTATTGCACTGAATTTATAGATTGCTTTTGGTAAGTAGAGCCATTTTCACAATGTTAATTCTACCAACTTATGAATATGGGCAGTCTTTCGAACCTCTCATGGCTTCTTCAGTTTGAGTCTTCAAGATCTGATTGTTTTCAATGTAGAAGTCTTTTCCATTTGCATTCTTGATTAAGTTTATAATTAGGTATTTATTTTAGTTTTTATTGAAGCTCTTGTGAATAGAATTGTTTTCCTGATTTCTTTTTCAGCCTATTCATTATTATTATACAGAAAAGCTACTGATACTTGTATGTTGATTTTATATTCTGCTACATTGGTCCGAGTGTTTATTAGATCTAGGTGCTTTTTGGTGGAATATCCAGGGCCTTTTATGGATAGGATTGTATCATTAGCAAGAAGGTATAATTTGACACTTTTATTTTTCTATTTGAAACTCTTTGTTTTGACTTTAATTCTTTTTATCTTTTTTGACTTATATTTAAGAATAGTATTTTAACTATTACAGGCATCAAAATGCCATTCTGGCATTAACTTTAGACTGTGAAATTTTATAATTACTGCCCATCTCTTAAAAAATATTTCACTTTGATCTTTAACTTGGGAGAAATTATGGCATCTTTTTTATTATTTCATATGTCTAAACTTTTCAAAATACATAAATCCACCAAGAAAACACCATTGGCATTCTCTGGATAACCAAAAATTGGACTGGCTCAATCAGCAAGAAATCTCACACATAGTCAGTGTTTACATCTTCATGAATTAGAAAGACTTCTGTGTACACGTTTTTCAGGGGATTTTTGTACAGTCTCTTCCTAGGCTGAAGCATTATTTTAGTATCAGGTAAAAAAAAGTATATAATTCTCCACCTATTACTAAAATGCTATCATTTTATATGTGGGGAAATATGAAAAACTGATTTTATTTTCTTTCTGAATTTGTTTGTGCAGATGTTCGAAGAAGAACAATTTACGAGTACCACCGAGTAGAACTACAAATGTCAAGAATCACAAATGTCTCTGCAGTAGAGATGACCCCACTACCCAGTAAGCCAATATTTGAACAGTTGTTGAGGGGGATGATTGTCAAGTTTGATGATAAACTTGTTTCATGATTATTGTGTTAACTATATAATTAGAATGCTTGCCATGCATGGATAGCTTGATCCTGAATGTGCATAGGGATGAGCAAGTTAAAACAGTTATTTTTTCCCCCTTCCATTCTGTCAATTTTTGGTGGTGAATCTATTTTCTCCTATTTCCTAGCATGCCTGCAGTTCAATGGTTGTGACTCCTGTGTATCCTCTCAGATTGGCTTCAATTGCAGTTGGTGCAGTAAACTTCAAAGGTAAGAAATAATTATTATATATTAGCCTATGCTGGCCTGGAACCTACTATTTAGCCTTATCCTCCCCCTACCTCTGCTTCTGGAGCCCTAGGATTACAGATTCAACACCATCAAGGCTGATTCAAATTTTATTTTATTTTATTTTATTACGATTTGTTGCCTCTACTCTCTCATTGAATTTTATAGGGGAGGGGTTTGTTATTTGTGGGGAGGGCATTTGGTTGAGAGGTTTGAACTCAGGGCCTAGGCATTGTCCCTGAACTCTTGCATGAAGCTCCACCACTTTGAGCCATAGCTCCACTTCCAGGTTTTGAGTGGTTAATTGGAGATAAGAGTCTCATGGGGACTTTCTGCCTCAGCCTCCTGAGTAGCTAGGATTACAGTTATGAGCTACTGGTAACTATCCTCTCCTTGAATTTTAAATGTATGTTAAGAGGACAAATTCTTATTTCATTAGTAAATGTGTACATGTAAAATATAGATATTCTATGACTAAAACACACACACAAAGATCAAATATGGGGATTTTAGGCTATTCCTTGAAGTGCCTGAAAGTGCTAACCATCTTCATACTCAGTAAGAGAGTTATCTGACATATATTTTTGGGGTGTGTGTGTGTGTGTGTGTGTGTGTGTGTGTGTGTGTGTGTGTGTGTGTGTGTGTGTGTGTGTGTGTGTTGGGGTGTGTGTGTGTGTGTGTGTGTGCTGGAATGGACACCTGGGTCTGGGCCTGGATGCTGTCCTTGAGCTTTATTTGCTCTTGACTACTGCTCTACCACAGCTCCACTTCTGGCTTTTTTGTGGAACAGTCTCACAGACTTTCCTGCCTGGGCTGGCTTCGAACTATGATCAAACCGCTAACCTCCAATCTCAGCCTCTGATTAGTGAGGATTATAAGCATAAGCCACCAGCACCCAGCTTCTGACATATGTTTTTTAATTCTCTGCATTTTAACATTCATTCTTGGTGCAATTTTATGTCTATAAATTGATGGTTTCATTCTACACTTTGGGGAAAGTATGGTTTGGTATATGTTTTCCAAAGCCTGGGTTATGATAAATTCATACTCTCAGTAAACTTGTATACAATATTAACAAGAAAACTACTCAAGATTAGTGAAGTAATTCTGAAGCTCACACTACTTTAATAGAACACACATACGGTTTGGTCTCAAGCTGTAACTGAACTTGAAACAAACTGCAGACTTGCTGGTCTCAGAAACATTGATTTCTTTTCACATCAGTAAAAAAGATGGTTTAGTCCCTTGAGCTTGTCAGAGATTACCCTGATATGGGAGGTACAGGATGAGAGGGAGCAGATTGCTTATGCTTCCAATGATGAATGAGCACAGTTCTACAAAACACTTGCAGAAATTCAAGGAACCTGAGCCCATGCAGAGGAAGACTTGCTTCCCAGATACCTGCTTGTTTCCTTAGCATGGTGGATATACAAGATAAAGACTTTTCAATATAGTTTGTGGTTTTCTCAGCCTTTGTGCACATTTATTATGTCTTAGGCACCTGGAACACAGCAGTTAAGCATATCAACATAGTCCCAAGCCTTCTTTTGTGGGATTATATATACCCTGTTTGGGAATAAATTCTCTTCTCACCTTCAGAGTCTACGAAAAGTCAGCTTCTCTTCCCAGGTGGAAAACTAAGTACTATGTTATTAGTTAGCAAATGTTACTGCCACCAGCTACAGGCATCTGTGTCTCACTCTGCACGAATGCACAACTGCTGCCACGGTAAAAGCATGTTTGGGAATGCTTGAAATGTCCTTGAATGATTAAAAGTAGAAAGTCAGTTGGTTGATAACAAGCGGTTGGACACAATTTTAACTTACTAACTTTGTGAGTATTGTGGCTAGTACAGTATTGTGTCTAGAACAATTTTTTCATGAACACCTCAGTTCTGTGTACAATGGTACATGTTGGTGCAGTGATTTCTTTTGGGAAATGAATCTCACATAGTGACAAGGCAGGCAAGCAGATAGAATTTTTCAGAGTCGATTTTAACTCAGCTATAAAATCAAAGGCTGATAGTGTTTTAGATTTTGCTATGATTCCATGAATATTAATACATGCTTATCCAAAGTTATCCAAAAGCCTATAGTTATAAATGTGAGGAATCTAAAGAGTTGGCATTTTCACATAGGTACTTAAGGAGTTATAGCCTCTGAAACTAGAAATGCTCAAAATAACTAAGTGGAAGACACTGATTTTCTTTCTTCATATCTAGTTCAAGATCAAGTTTATTCATTGGTCACTATCCTAGGCAAACAGTCATCAGCCTTTAGCATAGAGTTTCCAGATGTTTCCTCATTTGTCTATCTCCATTGTCAGGCTCTAATTTGGTCAAAAGCAAATAAATGTATGATTTATCCTTATGACTTCATGGCATAAACAACTTACATTATTTGCAGGAAAGTAGGAGAATGAATAAATCCTGATTGGATTTCAAATGAAAGAATTATGATTCTCTTTTCTGGAAATAAAGGGTTTTCTGGATAAGAGATGTTTCAGTATAAAGGCACAAAAGTGCAGAGGAAACCACCACCTACTGATTATCTTAGCCATATTATCATTAAACAATTCTTGAAAGAAATAATATTCTGATAAATTAAAGCTTTGAAGCTTCATCTAGGAGCCTCTCTACCACTGACCATTGGTTTAATCTACAATTTCAATTGAAATATATGTGTAAAACCTTTAAACAAGGAGGGTTGGTGATCAAACATAACCACCAGTTGAAATCTGCTCTACTGTTAACATGTACTTTATACTGAGAGATTTCTCAGCTAAATTATTGTACCAAGGGATTTTTTTAGATATTGTGTCTAACAACATCTTTTCAACAGAGAAAACTGGGGTGATTGGAGCTCTTTGCTCCAGTTTTGGGAACTCTTAAGTGTTAACATTTGAAAATTAACTCCCAGGTTTTAGTCTTAATAGCCTACTTGTTCTGTCTTAAACCTGACAGGCTGTAAGCGCACCAAACAAGCTAACCTTCACTGTTTTCTGCAAAATGGTAGACATACTCCAGGAAAATAAATAAAGCTTCTTATAGAAGATTCTACAAGAAAGAGATGTGATTTGTTTGTCGGTTGTGGGGCTTGAACTCAGGGCCTGGGCGCTGTCTCTGTGCTGTTTTGTGTGGTTTTGTTTTGTTTTGCTCAAGGCTAGTGCTCTACCACTTTGAGCTTAGTTACACCTCTGGTTTTTGAGTGGTTAATTGGAGATGAGTCTCTGGGAGTTTGCTGCCTTGGCTGGCTTTGAAACACTATCCTCTAATCTTAGCCTCCTGAGTAGCTAGGATTACAGGCGTGAGCCACCAGTGCACAGCAAGAGGTGATTTATAAGGGAGGATATAAAGCATCTAGAGGAGAATCTCAAGATGCCTAAAACTTCTGTATATTAATGAGGCATAGTTATTATGCAATTGGTAGACAAGGTTGTTAATAGAAATGCACCACAGTCCACCACTAAAAAATACACGTTTTCTTTATATTACTGTTAGGTGTTTTGTTGAATACTCAACTCTGATTAAAATCTTGGGTTTAGTTTTAACTCCTTAGCAATCTGGTTACATCCATATCGAAAAAGTCTGTTTAACTGATTGATTTAACTATGGGTGGTTGCACTTTTGTTCAAAATAATTTCCCCATTGCCCAATATTAATTTCTCTTTAGGCCTATGAGCTTCCACACTTTGGTTTGCTGCCCAAGATATATCCCTAGACTTTACAACTTTTATGAAAAGAAAGAAAGAGAAAAACTCACTAAACTAATCTAGAGAATTCTTCTCCTCAGTAGTATAAAATTGTCCCTTGGAGTTTTGTTCTCATACCATTCAAACTTACTCCTTGTACCCATATGTTCCTGAATGGTAATCGGTTGCTAGTGATTACTGAACTCTCAAATTGGGCTTCCTCTAAAAAGATAAGATAACTTTAATTGGTTTGTTTATTTCCTTTAATTCCAGTTTTCAGGTGGCAAAAATTATGACAAAAGTTTTCAGTGGCTTACCCAAGATCTAAGAAGATTTATAAGAACATAGAAGGAAACGTAATGTACAATGTGATTTTTTTTTGTTTTTTTGTATGTTCATCCCCCATGGTACAACCCCTGTTTTCACTGTATTTGATGTCAGTGCCCTGCATCTTGCATATACACTTCTCTAATTTGGGGAGGGGAAGGGAAAAAACAAAATGCTTAAATAGGGATACAGGCTGACCCATTGTAACAATGAGATGTACAAAACACTATGTTGAAAAACGAACTTTAGAATTTAGATGGGGGTGGGGTGGGCGGGGAGAGTGTAGTTGTGGAGGTGGGAGGGAAGGGATGGTAAGGAAAAAAAAGGAGGAGGTAACAATGCTTGATAGGAACTATACTCATTAGTTTTCTCATGTAACTGTAATCCCTCTGTACAGTATTTTTACAACAAAAAATGTATTTTAAAAAAAGAACATGGAGATCTAGGAGTGAAAGTACTTAAAATACGTGGCTCCTTTCTGTTTTTCTTTTTTAATTTTATTGTTATTATAAATGTGATGTACAGAAGGGTAACAGTTACATAAGTCAGATAAAGAATACATTTCTTTTTGGACAATATCTCCCCTTCCCTCGATCGTTCCCAGTTTCATTTTCTTTCTGAGCCATTTTTCATGACTGTAAATTGACAAAATCCAAATCATTTTGCTTCTTCTCTGTTCCTACAATAACAAAGTTTAAATGTCTCCGTTTAAGTTATGATTCCTAAGTACATTCAGTGATAAAGAAGAGATACACATTTATATATCTAATGGAACATAAACTTTTAGTATAAGGAGGTAGATGTGAAGCAAATAAATACAGAGTACATCGAATTAGTTGTGATAAATTATGGTAAGGGAGATGAACAATGAAAATTTGCAGAGCTGACAAGAATAACAATAGATTTAATCATTGTATCATTTTAAAATAACCTTGCCCTTTAAAGATTTAAAAGGTTGATCAGTC